CGAGTCGGCTCCCGCTCGCCGACGGCGACGGCAGCACATGAGCACCGGACACGCCGTAATCTGACGGGTAATTTACGTTTAATAACTTTTACTGGACTCTTTAATTTGGCATTTTCATGAATTTTAATGGAAATATGTAAAAAATTAAAGTTACCGAAACACATATTAAAGTAATGCCACAGCATGTGTCGAGTGGAAGTCCCAGGGATAGCACTATCAACCCTGGAACAACCAATAATATAGAACACTAAAGCCGGGTTCACAGAACTAAAACTGTCGCTAGCGACACTCCCCTCCCCTTCTATTTTCAAGTGTCGTTGAAAAACTTTATATCATTTTAAATGGTTCAAAATCTGTGGATAAAAATCCGATTATTAGGTGAGTGTGGATAAAATTGATTTTTTTATTACAGGTAATCCATATTATACATTTTTCGAAATTGTAGTATTCGGATACGACGTTTATTTAGACAAGAATTAACTTTGGTGCTGGGAGTAACTAAAGGAAATGCGTTTAAATGAAAAAAAAATAAACACAATTTCACATTCACCTTTATTACTATTCATTTTCAAAAAATGGTCAGGTCTCTCCAAACACCATGCATACACAACAAAAACAGTTAAACCTAACCTCATATAAATTGGGAGTGTCGAGTGAGTTAGAAAATTTAAACTTCACAAGATACCAGTCAGCGACAGTAAAGAGGGAGATACGAAAAGGTACAGCTCGTTGATTGGTGAAAATTGCTGTGGCTGGCGACAGTCGTGATTCTATGAAGCCGGCTTAAGTGCCGTGTATTGCTGACGGATTATATTCCGCCATCTCCTGTTGACATAAAAATGGAATCTGGTCGTTTTTACTATTGTCGTCTACAAACTACAAATTTATTAGTATAACTACTGGAAATAATAAATATTTACAAAGCTGTAAAGACAATAAGTAAAAATTTAATTAATTGGTATATTTTTACGAGAAAAATCAAACTCAAAAATTGTTTTCTAAAAAAATATTATCAAAGTCAAACAATGTTCTTCGATACCACAAATCTAGGTATCCAAAAGATCTGTTGTTGACACATTTATTAAAATTTATCAAAGTACAGTCCGTACGATATTTGTTGAGAGAGAAATCCAAGAAAAGAATAAGCCCATAAAGTTCTGTTATTGGAACTACTGTAACAATTTACAGCGGCAGCGGCATGCCTTGATATTTTCCCCGTTATTTTCAGAATATTAAAATATAAACACGATACTCTTCAACTGGGAATTAAATTCCTTTCTTTTATTTTCACCTCCATTGATTTATTTTAATAAGAAACTATAATGAAGATGAACGATACACTTACAAGGAAACACGCCTTCGGAACTACAATGTCTTTTTACCTCCGGTGTCGAATGCGGTTAATTTCATGAAACTAACGCAGGGGTCTTCTTGGACTTCTATCTCAATAAATATCGAATGGACTGTACTCAAGTTGGAAGTGCAATTTTTTGTACTGAATTATAATTTTATATTTAATTTAATTTAATTCTAAATGTACCTACTATAAAACAGCAAATTATTATTTTTTATTCATTTTCATACAGCAACACATGTATGATCTTTAAAATTGCCACTGTCACGTGGCAAATGACATTTGCAAGTAAAATTTTATCGTATAGTATAATTTTTTAAATATTTTGGGTATATTTTATGTATTACACTATAAAGGACCATTATTATATTTCACGAATTTAACATGAAAAATGTTTTAGTAAATTAATTCCCTTAACTACTAAAAAAATCTCGTGTTAGCGACAAGTATTTATATAACATAAATGTTATATTTCCATAAAAAAATCATTCCGCTGTTGCGTATCGCAAGAAATATTAATCTATTCTCGGGATCCAGACATTAATCGGCCAATCCAATTAAGTATCCTGTCAAATAAAACCATTCGTCATAATCCTTCTACCGCCCATAATAGCCTCGATATAGCCTTTCCGGGCTTACACGTAAACTTTTAGCGACTTATAAACATTGATTAAGGTCTCAGAAGCACACTAAGAAAAATGTTCCTGTATCTCAAAACCAGTGGCTGTAACTTTTCGCTAAAGTTACGTCTGGATTTAGAAAACACCCCGTACATCCAGATGTGCACATCAAAGTGAGCACATCCTTTTTGCGTTCCCTCTTGTAATTGTCTACCTTAAGTAATGAAATAATAGAAAGCTTACTTGGCAAAAAATATTAGAAGACGCGATAAATTTAATGTCTCAACTTTATATACTGTAATGCGCTGAAATACCGCAATCCTGAATTTATTACGAAATTGTTGAAACATCTAACATAAATTTATAACCAGCAAGTAAAATAGCAATAAAATAGTACTTACACTGTTCGTAATTTATCGCCTTGTTCTTTTTATTATTTATGAGCGTATTATATTTAAATAATGTTCCAGGAACGAATATTTCTTATCCTATAAATCAGTGGTTCTTAACCTGTTGTCCAAGGGGGTCTGCCATCTCTTCCCAAGGGGTACGCGAAGTTTTTAGGAACATTTAATCACTAATAACAACTAATTAAGAAAATGCACTCTCTTCAACCTGAAAAATTTTCCAGGACGAAGGATAGGTAGGTAGGGAGTCCGCGGTAAACAAAAAGTTAAGAACCGCTGTATAAGTACATAGATAATATTTAAATAAAAATATTAGATATCAAGAGGTCAACACACCGAAGATTTTTTCGAGTTTTGCATGAGTATGCTTCGGTAACATAGAAACTCCTCCCCATTTACAAAAGCGTTTCATTAGCTTTGAGTAATGATGTTCTAAACAAACTTTAATTACCCACAAAATAAACGTCTTGAAAATTGTACATTTGCGATAAAATCTAACAAGAACTTTGAAATGTGGTGGATGGTATGAGAATGTAATTAAAACTTCTGCTAACTGTTGGAACATAACTATTTTAATTGAGTTAGTTCTCAGGGCAATTTCCTAATGAACAGGAATATGATACGAGGGAAGTGTATTTTATATATTCAGATGGAAGGAAGGTATATTTTATCATTAATATTATTACTAAGCACTTAATAAAATATACAACGCAAATAAAACAAATAGTGATGGATATTAAACGTATGTTTAAAGAAAAAAAATAATAAAATGTAACAGTAAGTATCTGACTCAGTCACTCCAAAACTTATTGTAAGAGTAAGAAACGTTCTATTTTAAACACTCTATAAAATGTGGTGATAGCACTTGAAATTCATTTAAAATTATTAAAACGTAATTTTAGGATGGAATGAAAACATCATGAAAAATATTCGAAATCGAGAGTCTAACTAAACTGAAAGATGCTTTGTACAAAATAAAAGTGACAGATAATTCGAGTATAAACAAAATATCCCAGGAAAACCTAAATGGATATGATACAAACATATAAGTAAAAAGTCATATAATAAACTTACACTATAAATAAATAGAATTCGTGATTTTGGCCTACCAGTTTTTAAGTGGATTCTGGTCACACACACACACAAACACACAAAATTGTATCGTAAATTCGCTAACTACAAAACCCACGCTTATCGAATGTATTAGTCATGTATTAGTGATTATTGTCTGGCAGATAGCATTTGCATTTGTTTTTAGGGGTGTTGCCTGAATTGGTGTGAAAGTGAACATCGCATATGCCTTGCATCGCGATCGACGTAAGGTGTGAGGTTATGTTTTTAATTTTCGCTAAAAAGTCAGGGTTGGCTCCACCGCTACAAATCCTACGAACCATATAATCTAAAAGAAAAACCTAATTACTTTTGTTATGTACATAGGTACCGAGACCTACCTAATAACAAGTAGGTATAACGGACAATCCCCATAAAAATCATTAACAGACTTTCTTGGCCTATTAACCGGAAGTCGCTTCCATAGGTAGGTATACCCCTTTCGGGTTGTAGGTATATCGATCTCACACCTAAGACTTTGAGGAATTCTGTAAGTCTACAAGAAATCTTGCTCCAAAACTACGATAAAATACCCCAATAACCAATTCAAGCACCGAAATAAATTTTGACTAAAGAAAAATGTAATAATAAGGCGTCGGTGTCGATGTTATTGCCCGATTTTTTTCAGAAATTAGTGTTGCTTTCCCTTAGTTGATTAGATAATCGATACATGCGGTTTTGGTGGAGGATAACATCAATAACCGCACAGGAAATAAGGTATAAGTCGTGATAAAGTGAGATAAAATGTCTTAATCAGGGTAAAGGACACACAAAATATGTAGATGATATATACAAGCTCAAGTTCTATCACAAACACAGTAAGTTTATCTGAGAAATGCCAGAAAGTTTATCCATGTAAGTATTTTACGTACCTATAATAATTAAAAATACACTTTACCTAGGTATGTGGGAATCAAAAATATGTTTGTTTAACAATCCCTCTATATTCAAATTCAGGGTGTTGCAATTTCAAGTACGTATATGTATAAATCGCAACGTTTCAAAAAAACTATGTCAAATTCCAACTGTTGGTAGTAAATTGACGATCCCTTAAAAACAAGTATCGTTTAGTCGTTAAATTCGAAGAAAGTTTACTCACAATTTACGTTTTATTTATTTTATTAATAATAGTCAAGTTATGAATGACTAAAGCGAAAACGTGAAAAATGATATCTTGAAAGGCTTGTTAAATGAAATAGAAATAGATACATCTTTTGCATTCGGTGATCCTTCCGTTTAGAAAAACAAGCACTGTTATTTTTTCTATAATATATCAAGATTTTTATTATCTGTTAATAAATTAATCCATGTAATCCAATACAGATGAATCCTACTAGCGATTAAAGAAGCGAAAAATGGGCCGTCATTCAAACAATAACAAAAACACGAAAATCAAACAAACAAATTAGAAATAAATTAGACCCAGTTAGCACTTTAATCGTAGTAGGTGTAGTTGTTTCCAGTCTACTATGATCTGTCATTCACAGGGTGACTGACCTAGCAACTTACCTAGGATCGGGTAACACAATTTTTTTACTGGCCCTCGCAGCTGGGGTGCATTTGCTTTTTTCCATTGCCATAAGATAGCTGACATCAGCTAATACAGCTTCCAGGTCCGCCATTTTGCAGTTTCACTTCACTTTTCAGCTCAAATATACATTATTTTTACACCCTACACTACACCACCACTAATCACGCACGTCTACCGGTCATTATAACAACAAGGCAACCATGAAATTACATAATAATGATGTGAGAGTCAACGGGGAATCTGTCACTTTCAAATTTTTAAAGTTCCGACCCTGGATCATGAAGAAATTTGACGTACATTCGACACACAACTTACGAAAATTCAACACCGACTGATTTTCGTGGAGAACTCGCGGATTCCTACGGCGCAGATCGACAATACTCGGAAAACAGCTGTTTATCGCAGACAGCTGATTACTACAACACCAACTTTACCACATGAAATATACCGCACAAAGATATATACAGCTTTGCCCCGAATATCCACAAAATGCAACAAGTTCTCTCAGAAATTTATAAACTACATTATTGCATGTAATATTACCGCAAAATTCGTTTAAATAAAATAACAAGACTAAAAATAAAGTAATATATTTTTTTCTATACGATTGGTCATCTTTGTTCACAAAGTGTCAAAATTAAAAATGGCTGTAAGTGTTGACAGCACCGAAATTTTTAGCAATCTGTCTTCAAAAATTGGAAATTTACTATTCGGACGTACAGAAGGCGATTGGAATATACTCAGTAAAACTCTAGACGAGTTAAATTCCATTAACTACCGTTATACCGTGGTAACAAGTCCTACTGTAAGTAATATCAAGGTTATAACCTCATTTTTTAACAAAACATCTTTTTTAGAAAGCTGTTTTATTAGTCAACCAATGCTGCAGTTTTATACCTACCGATGACAAAGTTTTAATTAGGAAATGTAGTCAATTGTTGTGCAATCTTGTCAATCGACAAAATGTTATCGTGGAAGGTAGGACGTTGACCATTTCTGTGCAGTGGTGTTTGAAAAGCCTTAAAATAAAGGATGATGTTGTGATTTTGGATATTTTACAAGCACTAGAAGCATTGCTAAGAACTAATGTTAATAACATAAGTTCAGTAAGTACGATTACGATTCGAGGGACAAAATTAACGAATAATATTTTAGCATACCAACTGTGTTACAAAGGATATATGTTTACTCATACAGAACAGGAAAGAAGAATGTTCATTGGAAACTTTATTATTATGTTTACAGTGTTTGGAAGCTTGTACTGCTGTGCCTAGCGATTACAAGTCAAAAAATAATGATGATTTTTCTGTTCATTTCGATTTATGCGCTAAGATGTTTATGTATTATTTAAGTAAAAAGCCTATTGCTTTCGATGACGTAATATACAGCAGAGTAAGTAATTAATTTTTATAGATGTAATTTAAAAAAAAGGATTATCTACATGATTTGTAGGTATTAAAAGTTTGTCTAAGTGGACTTCAAAATGTAATAATTCAAGATCCAGTTTATCTAACGCAGCAATTAGGTGCCTTACTAGGAGTTATAAAAACGTACATGTTATATGGTATCAGAGGCGTTGATTATATAGTGCCACAAAAAATACTACCCTCTACATTAAGTGTACCGGAGGTACCTAACAATGTTCTTAGAGAAAAAAAAGGAGGAAAGGTAAGAAAATAATAATATTTATAATTGTACAGGGTATTTCTTTCTTCTAAGTAAACTTATTTCCAAAAATGTCTGCTGTAGGAGTTAAGTTTTTTTAATTTACCACAGTTGGAGAAACATAAAAGAATGCAATTTGAAGTGTTGCTTTATTTTATCATAGGCTTTCCTTCATTGATATTTTTAATCATCAGCGACCCTTGAAAGTGGTTGAGCCTTAATGATTTTTCATTATATCTTTTTTACGAAATTGAAAATCTGCCGTTCAAAAAATGCCATTTAGAGACTTACTTCACTTAGAAACTTTTGGGCATAACATCGGTAGCTGGTGTTTTTGGGCATGTATATCAACATTAAAGGCAGTATTATTAATTTTACAGCTTACAAAGCAGAGAAAACACAGATCATCTGGTGCTAACAAAAAACAAACTCGAAATACAGAGGAATTGGTTTTCGAGAACAAAACGACGGGATACACACCTGCTACTACCTCGTTAGAATACAATTCTGACGGTGGCACGAAGTAAAACAATTTTAGATCGTAAATGATTTGTAATATTTTACTTGCATCTTCATTTTAGTTGCCCAGTGGACTCAAGTAGTAGGATAAAAACAAGCGATTCGGACTTTTCCGATAGTGAAGCGGGAAGGACCGCAAAAGTTGGTCACGTTCATAGCAAAATACGACAGGCCGCTTTATATTTGTTCTACGACGTTGTTAAGGTACAAAAAAATGAAAATGTCAAAGAAATCATCATGAATTTGTCTTAATTCGGAACTACTTTTTGATTTTAGCAAAGCGACAAGGCAATGATATTTTCGTACTGGACGAGTTTCATTCCAGAAGGAACGATATGCGGACAGCACAATTTAGTAACGTGTATTTTGAAAGATCCGTCACCCAGGGGTAGAATGGCTGCGCTAAACGTTCTGTTACTGCTTCTGACCAGCTCGAAATTATATCTGTCACAAGCGGAATCGTGGTAATACTAAAATTTCATTGAAAACTGGAACAAAATTTTAATTGTTTTCGTCAATTTAGTGAAAAATCCACATCGTTCACTCCGTTCTCCGTTATACTGGGCTTCATGTTGAAGGAACTCCACAAAGGACTTAGCCTGGCATTGAACGAGATGTCGATCCCTGTTCTAACGCAAGTTCTGAAGTGTTTCGCTGCTCTAGTACAGGCCACTCCTTATCACAGGATGTCCCAAGGCGTTATCACTAAAGTCATCCGAAACGTCAAGAGTTTTGTTTATTACAAAGGTTTGAAAAATAATAATTAATTTAGACGTGGATGTCACTATATAATTTCAGATGCATCCGTTCAAGTGACTGCTCTGATTGTTCTCGGGTGCATTCTCGCCTCGGAGCCGGCGATACTGGAGACTAAAGATGCGATGTTAAGACTGAAAAAAGTTCCGGGGAGTTTCTCGGAAAATAAACGGAAAGACAAAGAAAAAGAAACCGAAAATTCGGTAGGGGATACCTTTGACTTTGCTGAATTTTCCGATCCCGAAGAAGAGGAATGCGTTAATAACGATACCATTCCCTGGCTGCTTAAAAGGTGTTTGAATAATTTGGGCGTAAATTTCCAGGTATGTTGTAAATAGAATTAGTTTTATTAAAAACAAATATTACCGAGCTTAATTTTTCTTTTGTTAATTGCAAGAGTATAGTTAAAATATTTTTTTAGTCAAGTAGATAGTTGATTGATTCATGTTTGAAAGTGTTGTCTACGCCGTCACTGGGCAGTTCTCTGAATATATAAGGTGTAAGAAGTTTGACTGCCATTACTTCAGCATGAGATAGAGTAATTATAAATAAACAAAAAGTTGTATATTACAGGGGCGTAAGATTAACAGTTTTCAAAGTACAGCGAATATTAATATTGGGGAGTTTCATTACAATGTGACAACAGCGCCACGTGTGCACGTGGCAAATTAATTGGTCCTACGGCAAAAATGTAATCAAATATTATTATGAAATATTTCGTCCCTCTTATCACGTAGGGGCGTATAATCCAAGAAATGGATATACACATACGCCTCTACGTGATAATAGGGACGATTTAGTAAATATCAAGATAATTGTTTTCTAGTTTTTAAATAAATAAAATAAAATTTATTGATTTTGTAGTACGAAGATACTGTTGTGTTGTGATTTTAGCTCGAATTTTAGTAATCATGAATCTCTTAAAACAGGAATTTAACTTTTAATCAAATTATATATTTGAAAAATATGTAATTAAAGTACCCAAAGATTCACGTCATCCAAATAATCATACGTATTAAAAATCATTTAGGTACTTACCAAAAGCAAAATTCAGTAATTTTTGAACACACAAGTACAAATCGAACTACAACATATCAAAATGCCCACCACCATTTTTGACGCACGCACGACACCTTTGAATCCAATTTTCACGCACTCGCTGGAAAACACCTCAAGAAAAGGAAATAGTGGTACGCAAAAAACACTCAGACCCAGTCCAATTCCAGATACCACTGAATTGCGTATTGTTGAACAGCTTAGTACCTCGTATTATCCGCCGCGCCTTTGTCACAATGCTCAATATGAATTTTATCGAATTTTAAATTTATTACAACGCTAATTATTTTTTAGAATTAAGCATAAAGAAGTTAAAAAAAATTATAAACATTGTATTTTATGGTATTCTATGCACGCAATTATATCAATATTCCTTACTTAATTAATCCAACTTTTGTACATCAAGTTGAAGAATTTGATCATTTTTTTCTTGAAAATGGTTGAGTTTAGGACCCATGTCATATAAGGTTTTTTTGTTTATTTTAATGTATTCTCTCGTCTGTTAAAATTAAAGCAGTCAAACTTCTAATACCCTGTATGTGCGTAGTTTAAGGGCTCTTATACACGGACGGTATTTTGCCGATCGGTATTTAAAACGATCGGCAAAACAACGACTAAAATTTTTAATTACACAGTTAAATATATCTTTACACACAAACGTCGCTGTCAGGTCTGACGGTCGGCTACGGACCCGCAAAAAAAAGCCCGTGTGTAAGAGGTGTAAGTGAACTACATTATACCAGTCCACCTGATGTGATATGACAACAGAGCATTAGGATGACAAAAAAAAATAACCAACGTAAATTCTGTAAAATGAGAATGTCCGAATATGTCACCGCTTCATTTTATTGCGTTTATTTTAGATTTCAGTTTATTAGTTTGCAAAGAGGTATTTGTAACACAGAATTCCGCGAGTATTAGTTTTTACTTGAATCGAAATAGAATTTGTATAGGGCAATATTTTGTTTTATTAACAGTTGTCGTAATTGAAGAATAATAAAACAGAGTTTATTATTTCATGACAAAATGAAAAAAAACTTATATGCTGACATTAATTTTTGTTAATTCTACCTGTTGCTAATTAATTTTCATTTGTGAAGTGTTTTTTTATTGTCTGGGATAATGTCTGTAATTTAAATTAATATGAAAAAATAAATATTGATAAAACTCTTCATCGATAGCAAAACGTCCAAGGAAACGTGGATTTTATTTTTATCTGTGAAGAACCAAGTTTCCAAGAAATTTTTAAGTCTTTGATATAAAGTAATTATTTAAAAATGTTTGTTTAACACTAATAAAGTTACTTAATTCAGTATGTTTTTTGTGTCATAAAACATGTTTTTGAATTAAGAAAGATGAGATTTGACAACAATGCATGGCCATACTTACAAAATGGATATGTGCTCACGGATATCGCACACAGTTAGTTGAACTTACATTAGTCTATAAAAAAAGTCACTTTTTGTGACAGAACTTGAGAAAACAAACTCGCGACATATGTTTCTAAAGGTCAAAGGTGGCCTTCTTATAAATGTTAATCTCAATCAGAGTTACTCCTTGTATATTCCAGTCCAACTTAGAAATAAGATCACTAGATGGCGATAATCCCCAAAAATCCCTGTTACCCTTTTTAACACTAAAAACGAGAGAGTAACAAAGATTATTTAAGGGTATTGCATAGTCTCGGTCCATTTTCTTGACAATTAAAAAAAAAACATTTTTTTTTAAATTTAAGCCTCATATCTCATATCTTGAAAACAAAGCATATTCAGCCTGCGCAAAGTTTTTAACTGATTTTCCTAGCCACTTCTTTGTTTTTCTGACCGACAAACATCTTTCAGACCTTGCCGATGTGTACCGAACAGAAGAACGTAATAATACCGGCACCAGTAAAACTAGAATCTCTACAAGTACTGTCCGCCATGAGCCGAAATTATTTTGACGTGCTGATGGCGCCACATATCACCCACATTGTCCGAGCTCTAGATATATCGCTCTCTGACAGATACACGGATCTGAGACTGCACGCGGGACGGGCGGTGGACTTTTTAGGGCAGGCGATGAACAGGTACATCAGCAGCGAAGGTATGTCTAATGATTCTAATAAAATTTCTTTCAAATAAATTTTGGAGTTTGCAATCGAGCAATATTTAACATTAACATTATATTTTAGATACCAAGGATGTGGTTTCCATAGAACAGTGCCTACAGTTTTGGCAAACGTTGCTGAACGGGTCACTAATCGAACTCCTGCAAAGCGAACAACACGCCATTTTGAGAGCGGTGGGTTGCGATTGTCTAGGAAGCGTGGGGGCCCAAATATTTGAGCAACTACCGGTAAGTGCACTCATATTTTTATCCAACTTGTATCTTTTAATTGAAAAAACTTGTATTTTCAAGATAATTTTCTCTTTTAGAGAGATAAACAGATTTTGTGTGTAACTTTGTTATTTTCGTGTACGAGAGACGAGGAAAACAGCGTTAAAGGCGCCGCTGTCAGAGCTCTTGCCATATGTGTGCTGTATCCGTCTCTTAGAGAAGTAAGTTGAAATGTTAAATTTGATTATAAACTCATTTTAAGACATTTTTGACATGGGTATGTCAATTAAATCATTGGTGCAAATGGTGTCATTCCGCTTCTCTTTTAAACACCCTGTATCACATCTTTGAACTTAATTATTTATACAAATTCGCGGTGTTAAGTGATTTCTTAATGGAAGTCTTTCTGCATCGACTGAGATGCTATAACTGCATTTTGTTAACATTCCTTGTAAATTTCCAACTGTTCCTTTAAGACATTATTTTCTTAGATGTGCGCCATTTACCAGAAGGCCTATCCCTCGGTTATTATTGTATTTATTGACTTACATGTATACAATTTTTGCCGCAGATGCACTTTCATTGCACAGAAAATATACTTTCGAAATATCTACCATTTCATTGTTTGTTTAAACCACCATACTTCACTTCATCACATCACAGTTCACTAAAAATATTAGTTAAAACACTTAAAAGCACTTAAAAGAGAAACACCGACCGTAGAAATAACAAATCGAGACAAATATGTAAACGTGCCCTTCCATCCAAGATCGTAGAGTTTGGTAATACATGGCCCTTAACATTATTTATAGAAAATATTTAAAAGTGAAAATACCTTACAAAATTTAGAGTTCAGACATGACTCCAGTATATTTATATAAATATTTAAATACAAACGCTAACTAGTTTGCAGCGATTTATTCAGGCAAATAAAATAAAAGCATCGATCAGCCGGAACAAAGTCTAACAGAAAACTTAAATGGAAACTGAGAAAAGCCATGTACGACTCTGTTAAGAGGGCTCTATACCAAATAGCCAAACAGCAATACATTTTTATAGATTTTATTACACAGTTTGTCTAAATATGAATTAATGCACAAATAACAAACTTTCCCCCATTTTAATGCAGATTTTCTATAAAATGGACTTAGTTTGAAATTGCAATTACTTTTTGGTGTAAAGAAATTTGTAATTTACAATGCTAATTACAAATTTCTTTATAACAAAAAGTAATTTGAGTTTCAAACCAACTCCATTTTATAGAAAATCTGCGTTAGAATGGAGGAAAATCTGTTACTTGTGCATTAATTCATATTTAAATAAACTGTAATAAATTCTATAAAAATGTATTACTGGTAGGCTATTTGCTATAGAGCCCTCTCAAAAGCCTGAACCTCCCGAACTCTGGTTTTGTTTACCTTCCAAGTATGTGAGAACGGATGAATTTAAAAATAAAATCGATATTGATTCATAAATATTTGCAATCATGTCTGAATTTGTGAAATAATAAATCTGCACGATTTTAGGACCCTGGGTTTGTAGTCGATACAGCAGAAGCAATTTATCGTACATTGAAAGACGAAAATCTGATGGTTAGAGTAAAAGCTTCTTGGTCCCTGGGAAATCTAAGTGACGCTTTAGTTTTGAACAGGTAATCGTCCATTACAATACCCATTTTTCCACATGAAAATTACAATTAATTGTATTTCAGGCAATTTGTTTGCTTGGAATTATAGAATTGTATGTAGACATGAGTAAGTTGTTCGTTAGAGAACTTTGAAAGTTTTGATATTTCATGTTCATATAATTTAATTTAATGTATAAAATTATTGTCTGGATTTTCCGAAAACTAACTAATTTTAACTTATAGTTATGTATGTCAAAACATCGGAAAATATTTTTATTCACAACAAAATACAACCTAACAAAATAAGCTATATTGTAAAGACACCAAAAATCGGTAAAATAAATGCGAAAACATAAAAGCAATCTTAAAAAAGGAGCTCACAAAACTGCTTAGTGACGTTAAAAAAATAAATTTTGCACTCCTAGAAAGCCCCATGTTTGGAAAAAACGTTACTTACAATTTTGTAAGACTCCAGCCAAACAAACTATTTGTTTAGATTAAAAATTCTGTCGTAGCAAATCTGGGGAAAACACCGAAGACCTACCCGAAAACTTTGTACTGAAGTTGCTTCAAGCCAGCATCAGCGGAGCGTCCGACAACGATAAAATAAAAATGAACACCGTACGCGCCATAGGGAATTTGTTGCAACTGATCACTTTGGAATTGATAAAAAAAGTTGAGTTTGCTGAAGTCACCGAGCAAGCTTTCGCCACTTTGGTGAAGACGAGTACGACGGGGTCTAATATGAAGGTGCGATGGAACGCCTGCTACGCCTTAGGAAACGCCATGAAAAATCCTGCGTTGTACCAGGATGCCGTCATTTTGTCTCGTAATTGGCAGGTAAGATATGAATTCCACTGAAAAAAATAGTAGTTCTATCGTCCCGTGCTTGGATAGTACAAAATTACTTATAAACAACAGAAACAAACAGAAACAAGAAAATCAAAGAACAATTCCATTCATTTCAAATTATCTCAAAACAACATCTTTTTAACTAATAATATTGTAGGAAACAACTATTCCGTGGGTTCCAGCCCAACCAGCATTGAATTAAACTCACAGTATCTAATAAACGGCTAAAACCATTCGTCAATGGTCAATGGTCACCAGACATATACCGGTTTTGAGTTTTTTAGTTCTCATCAGTATTCGAGTAGGTACAAAGTAATGCTTTGTGTTGGTAGGTATTGAGTAGCAATGAAATTCAAAATATAACTTTTGCGTCATTAAACAAATAATCACTTTGTTTAAATGATGCTCAATTGTTTTCCGTTTGCAAAAAATATCATCCTTTTAAATATCGGAAGATAATTTCGGACCACCCTGTACGATATTTCATGAAAAATATCATTTTCCTGATTTCAGGCGTCCGCCTTTAATTCCTTGATGGAGCTGGTCATGGGTTTTCGCAACTTCAAAGTAAGGATAAACGCGGCCGTTGCTTTGTCGTGTCCTACAGAGCGAGAACACTACGGTCAGTTCTTCCTATCCGTATGGGTGTCTCTTCTTAGAGCATTGGAGAATTCACACAACATGGAAGATTTCAGTGAATACAAACACAGAGATCACCTCGTTGAACAGGTAAGGTTTGATCTTACTCGCAATCGTAAATGGAGATTAGTTCGATTGTATCGAAATTTCCGTTTCAGATCTGTCTGGCATTAGGTCATCTCACCACGTTGCTCCAAAAAGATGATCTGCTGCAACTGGAAGACACGATCGAGCTGTACTTCGACACTTTCAAATCGCATACTCATAAGGTTTTAGAGAGGCTGGTTCCTGAAAGGTCCACGACGCTTTTTTCCACTTCTTACACTTTGTCCACTTTGTACAAGCAGACCGATTTAAACGCGAAGCAGAAATGTGTTTTACAACGTTTAATGGATATTTTCGTGCCAGAGTTTTAAATTGTGATTTATCCTTTTTTATTATGAAGTATACGTTTTATCGAGTAACTGAGATGTTTTGTTTTGTGTTCATTTCAAATATATCAGCAGTTTTCTGTGTATTACAAAAAAACGGGACAAAAAAGCGGGCAATATGTAATTTTCAGCCAGAACTATTCACCTGATTTTATGTAGCATTAACTCAGATACGATTCCAGGGGTTCTCAATAAGTGTTAACAACGGTGTAAGGAATTTGAAAGCAAACAGAGTAGTACCACAATAAATATATTTGTATATTTACATAAAAAGCTTACGTACCAAAATAAGTGTGTAGTTTAAATAAATACTTAAACCTACATGTATCGCTACATACATACCTATTTAACCTTAAAATCACAATTAATTGACAGACATAACATTTAATACTTGTTCGAAAAGCGGCTTTATAATTTTATTAAAGGCAAAAAGCAGACTGCTATGTTAGTATAAAAAGGGAACGGTTAAAATTTGTTAGTCTTTCGTCATTTGCCGAATCTGAACACTCCGCTCACGCCCTTCTTCATGCTCTTGTTTTCGGGAGCCTAAAAAAAAATAATTCTAATTTATGCAGCATGGTATTGCTTCAAAACCTACGTGTCTTGTGCCAAACAGCATTCTAGCTTTGTCCTCCTCCTGGGGAGCCGAATTTTCGTCCGAGGAACCCGTGTTTCTCTTTATCTGCAGTTTTTGCTTAATGGCCTAAAGGCAATTACATTTATACATTAACAAAACATCTAACTAAGCAAACTAAATATAATCTAGCAGGCATAATAAATTCCACACTTGTGTCTCTATGAATAAGAAACTGTATTAAATAAAAAAGATTATTAAGGATTCACATAGTAGTTCAAATCAACCACTACCCGAACGACTTAATTTTTAAATTAACTAATGCAATATTATAAAATTATACGGAATTTAAAAATTTTTGTTAATATTCAATTAAAAAGTTCACCTGTGATAGGCTTGCCTATGAGAAAATAAAAATTCTTGCAATTTATAAGTTAACAGAAAGAAACAGTCTAATATAAGCTAAGGGACAAAATATTCTCCACATTTGTACCCTGTATCAATAAGAAGCTGTATTAAAAGCAGTAATACCGGAGTAGGGACGTAGTAGTTCAAATGAACCATCACCTGAACTACTTAATTTTTAAATTAACTAATGCGATATACAATTAAAGACGGAATTTAAAAAATTTTGTTAATACTCAAAAAGTTCACCTGTAACAGGCTCACCTGTGAGAAAATAAAAACACTTGCATTTTATAAGTTAACAGAAAGAAACAGTCTAATATAAGCTAAAGGGGCAAAATATTCTCCACATTTGTGCCCTCTATCAATAAGAAGCTGTATTAAAAGCAGTAATTCCGAAGTTTGGATATAGTAGTTCAAATGAACCACCACCAGAACTACTTAATTTTTAAATTAACCAATGCAATATTATACAATTAAAGACGGAATTTAAAAAATTGTGTTTTTCCTCAATTAAAAAGTTCACGACAGGCCCACCTGTGATAAAATAAAAACCCTTGCATTTTATAAATTAACAAAAAGAAACAGTCTTATATAAGCTAAGGGTCAAAATATTCTCCACATTTGCGCCCTCTATCAATAAGAAGCTGTATTAAAAACAATAATTCCAAAGTTTGGATGTAGTAGTTCAAATGAACCACCACCAGAAGTACTTAATTTGTAAATTAACTAATGCAATATTATACAATTAAAGACGGAATTTAAAAAATTGTGTTTATCCTCAATTCAAAAGTTCACATGTGACAGGCCCACCTGTGAGAAAATAAAAACCCTTGCATTTTATAAATTATCAAAAGAAACAGTCTAATACAAGCTAAGGGTCAAAATATGCTCCACATTTGTGCCCTTTATCAATAAGAAGCTGTATTAAAAGCAGTAATTCCGGAGTAGAGATGTAGTAGTTCAAATGAACCACCACCCAAACTACTTAATTTTTAAATTAACTAATGCAATATTATACAATTAAAGATGGAATTTAAAAATTTTTGTTAATACTCAATTAAAAAGTTCACCTGTGACAGGCTCACCTGTGAGAAAATAAAAACAGTTGAATTTTATAAATTATCAGAAAGAAACAGTCTAATATAAGCTAAGGGGCAAAACATTATCCACATTTGTGCCCTCTGTCAATAAGAAGCTGTATTAAAAGCAGTAATTCCGGAGTAGGAATGTAGTAGTTCAAATGAACCACCCCAAACTACTTAATTTTTAAATTAACTAATGCAACATTTTAAAATTGAAGACTGAATTTTAAAAAAACATGTTTTTATTACTACTCAATTAAAAAGTTCATCTGTGACCTGTGAAAAAATAAAAGCAATTGCATTTTATAAGTTAATAGAACGAAATAAGTCCAATATGTATAAGCTAGAAGGCAAAATATATTCCACATTTGTGTCCTCTATCAGTAAGTAAAAGAGTAGTTCAAGTGAACCATCGCTCAAACTATTTATTTTTAAAATTAAATTAACTGAACCAAAAAATATGCTTTTATTAAAACTGAATAAAATATGTGATTTCAAGCTTACCTGTGACAAAATAACTCTTTTACTGTCGTTCCTTATAGCCATAAGAAAGTCGAGCCACGTCCAAGTCATATTATGGTACTCCAACGTCGGAATTATCAACGAGTAGTCACGTAAGTCCTCCAAATTCTTTTCTTTGGTACCTTTGTAGCTCACTTTCACCGGAACCTCGGGTATTTTGATATACACGAAAAGTTTGTTCTTTTCCGCTCTTTCCTATAAAAAAACGTCAAGACAAAATTTCAGTCACATTTATTTAATACCTTCATTTTTTCCACATCGTCAATGTGGACATAAAAGTTCGAATCGCGGTTCCTTCTCGACCTGATTCGCTTTCCTTTTTGTTCCGGTTCTCCGTCCTCGCTAGCCCTGTCGCTGTAATCGCTGTTTTCCGCTTCCCGTTCCGGAAAACAGAACTTCATCATCGTACTGTAAAATTTCTTTGTCAATCCTAAAAAAATATTTTTCTGTAGTATTATTACCGTTTACCATTTTTTTTGTTTATTATATTTCGTTTTGGCTTTTGTGAGAGAACACCAAGGGATAAATGGAATGAAAAAAGGCAAACAAAGTATGTACCAGCGAAATGCTCAAGTCCGAAAAGTGTATCTAAGAAAAACCGCAAGAACGCCAAAAGTTAACAAGCTCTCGTATTGGATCAAGATTGTTGCTGAATTAATACACACAGTATATACATGTTAAAAACTAATCACAGTTAAAATAATCTATTCCTTACCTATGGTTATAGGGACTAGATTGATTTCAAAGTGTTCCTTGACTGAAATGCCACCTACCGGGGGTTTTTCTCTACAGAATATCCTCAACACTTTCTAGAGAAGTAAAATTTGATTAGTTGTCGACTTACGCGTTAATTTTTTCTCACATACCTTATGTTCTATCGGCATATCAAACTGGATTTCAGTGGGGCACAGCACCTCTTTATAAATTTCATTAGACAACAGATTCATCATCCGCAGGTAACCTAATTCTAACAAATGTTCCATCGAATCATCGCTCTTGGAATTTTTGGTATACCTGCAACAAATCAATGTCGAAAAACAAAATAAATAAAAAATATACAGGTTACTTACAAAAAGTTGCTTAATACTAAGTCGGCGATACCGATCTGACCGTCGGCTTCGGTAAGCCTCCACTGTGCGTGCTTGAAACAAATTTCGTTAGCCCTGACTATAGTCAGAGGCTTATCGCTCCGCGTAGTCGCCAAACGAGCATTTGCTAACAGTTGAGTCTCTTTGTAACAGGACAGCATCATGTCCAATTCCTCACTTTGGGCGTTCAACTGATTCTTACAATCATACATCTGAAACAGGCAATTATCCCTTGAATATCAATTTTCGTAATCGAAATCATTTCTCACCAGTCTTTCGAGTCGGTCAGAATCCTGTCTTAATTCAAGATCATCAGGATTTTCTTCCAGAGCCTTATTAACTAGATAAGTCTCTTTCTCGAGCCTCCTCAGCTTACTTTGTGTGCTTCTGACTAGCGTTTGCTGGTTTTGAATAGGTTTTCTTTGGTCTTCCACGCTGTGCAGTTGAAGTTTAAACCTCATGCGTGCGAGTTTCTCAAGCGCTTCCTTTCTGTGGGGCTCCACGTACAGCAGGAGGTTATTCACGATGTCCAATAGCATAGCGTACTGAAATATAAGGTTCGGCAGTTAAATCTTGGATTTTCTTTCGGCGAACCACTTACCTGTAAAGAGTTTGTGCAAACATCTAAATCGTGATGCATAAGCGTAAAAGCGTCCACAGCGGACTGTCGGTTGTCCCACGGACCGACCTCTTCCTGTGGCGGAGGGGGTATTTCGGCAACACCCTCGGGATCCACGCTGATATCGCCGTAATCGGCATAGAAAAATTCGCACCTACATCTCGACACTATCCTTTGCAGCTGCAGAATAATCAAAAGATATTACTAACGTCAGAAACACTTGCAAATTTAAGTGATTTAACTTACTTGTCGTGAACTACTAGGACCAACAGTGTCACTGACCACTGCGCCTACAGACACGCCACTCCCCACCATATTCGGAACCTCGGACGGCTCCGATATTTCAGCAGATTCCTTTTCTTGGATGTTATCAACTGTCAACCACATAATATTCTCTGCAAAGTACAAATATACAAATATTCGTACCCTTATGTTACGTTTAAGTACATTTTCATTTTGAATTTTTTGAAAATTTGTTGCGAAGGGTAAGACGTGCAGGGAATGCATCATTTTGCTGTTCTACATTTTCACCACTTTATAACACACATACCCATTTTTAAAACTTATTGAAATACTAAAATATGAAAATAATAGCACGTCTTTCCCACTTTTATGCTTATGACGAGCACTGACATCAGCTAGAAACAGACAAATGGAGGGATTTCAAGATTTCAGCCGTCGTTTTTGTACACAGGCAAAGATAGAAGTAGGCGTTTGAAACAATAAAACATTTCAAGAATTCGTACGTAGGCTTAACATACCTGAACACTATGCGAAATGATCGGCACATTACAATTTGCACATAGAGAATACACAAAATTATTTTATCAGAGTAAGTAACAGTAAAAATTGTAGTTTTTATGACACTTTAGAGGATTTTTATAAATATTGCTTACCATTTGCAGTGTCGTTTTCTCCCGCGTTCACCGTAGCATAATACTGCATACACTCCAGACTTCCCACCCATGTAGTTTTCGAAACGAGCGTCCTATCCTTCCAAGTGGGCCTATGTATTCGTTGCACTATCTCGGCCTTGGCGGCACTCAATATCACATAACCTTTAGTCTCACAGCCTTTTAGTAATACCTGAGCGTTTACAAGAGCGACTGAAAAAAAGCGGTGCAAATAAAAACAATACTAACTCCAATATTTCAACCTCTACACTTTTATCGTGTTTGTTTGCTTACTTTGCCAATTTTTGTGCTGAACGTCATCTTCCTGACAGGCCTGTAGGCCTTGCAAGTGTTGCTGCCTACATACAGCCGACAAGTCATCGCTGTAAACGACGGAATTGTTGTCCGCCTCCGCTATCAGCTGTTGCAGCATATTCGCGGCGTGTCCCGATTGGAGTTTACTTATCGGGGATGGGGTGTCCTGAACGGTCGAAGAGCTCTGAATTGCCTTAAAGGAGGATAAATATAATTTAGAATATTGGTCGTTAAAGGAGTAGGTGTTCAGAACTGAACATTTATTCTGTCAATTGTCAAATAAGTTAGATTAGGCTGAGAAGCAGATATGACATTTGACAGTTTCACTCGCAACTATCGATTTATACAAAAATTTCTTGAAATTAAGCGACGATTTACAAATAAAATCAGATTTTACCTGTACCGACGCGTTGGGTGGTGTGCTAGATGGATCGGCGTTCCTCCTCTTCAGAGGCGTGGAACTGTTATCTTTTCTAAAACCTTTCAGGGCCTCGGTAGACAGATTCTTCTTCATCCTCTACAAATTCTAGTTTCAATTAAATTTCCCACGTTTAATTAAAATATCGTTACCGTAATCTTCATGAAAGTATCGAAAAGAGCGAAAGCGACATTTCTGTTGCTCTTAGTCCAAGCCCCTCTTAAATCGTACACCACCAGCCTGTGGGTGGGAACCTCCTTGTTCCTTTCGCTCATGTTCTGGTTGTGTACCACCGTTTCCCTGCCGTAAGACACCTTCGCTACCGATAAGCAAAATGATTTTTCCACGGGTTGTCTAGGGGAAGGCACCTCGATTTCAGACTCGTCTTGAAGGGCACTCTTCAGCCATATTTCGAAATCGTTCAATTCCGAATTCATATATACCACTGACCATTCGGCTTTGGGTCGGTGTTTTAGGCCGTCTTCGACGGTGACGAGTGACAGGGTGTGCTCTAAAAATGTGAATCGTTTTCATATAGATTACAAAATAGTTACTTGTTTATTATGTAAGTGCGTTATATTACACATCTCACCTGAACTGGATGACAGTCTGCCCCCAAATAGTTCACACCCCTTTTGCATGGCAAAAGACATCCAGTAGCAAACTTGAAATTTATGTAAGCCCATTAACAAGTGTAACTGGAGAAAAAATACACCACGTTAAATGTTAAATATGTGTACATCAATCTGTTACACCATTACCAGTTATTCATATAATACGAGATATATTTGAGATATTGCAGATATTGTAAAAAGCAAGAAAGATTAACGTAGAGATTAAGAATTAAAAATTAATTCTAATATTCTAATATTCTAATTATCTATTCTATTCTCTCTATTCTAATAATTAAATTAAGAATTAAGAGAATTAAGATGTAACAAATTGGACAAGAAGAAATATGTTATTTGCAGAGGATATTGTAACAAAAGCTGGGATGCTTAGTAATTTATTTGTTAGTTCTCGGAACAAATGGGCCAAAAAAGTAAAATATTTCAGTCAACACTAATTTTATCGAAAAGTTAAGAGTTTTCAAGTAGGTTTAGCGACGCCACAAGGACGTTCTTCGAAGAAGGCCCCACGAAATTTAGCAGTATTTTTAACAAGTTCACTTAGACCGTCGGGGCCATGTGTTGAGCATATGGTATAAAGAGAAAAATCGATATTTCAAATAACGCGCAAAATGCATTCGAAAGAACACATAGGAATTCCAAGATATTTATAAGTTGTTAAAATAATTGGAAAAAAAATCAAATAGGTGGTTTTTAGGCGAATTTTCGAAGCTATAAGAATAGATTAAATGAGATTGACTAATCCGTCCCGTATTGCTACACGGAGTCACTAGAGGAAGGCTAGGGTTATTTGCGAGTTCAGTTAGTCACAGAATTATTTATATAAATGTAAGCGTCCCGATATTCAGGGTTCCCGCCAGTTAGATAAGAACAGAAACTTCTGGACCCAAGAAATTGGCGTGTCGAAGCAAGGTGTCGAATTCAGGAAAGATCTTCGAAAAACAGGCAGTTTTTCCTTGGGTTCCACACTGAGCAGTCTACTTAGTTTTAGAGTCTCGGGTTAATTTAATAATAAATAGAGTCATTCCCAATTTTGCTATGGATCGCACATTCCCTGAATCTCGCTCGTCAATAAATTAATTAATAATGTTTTTCAAGCCCGTTGTGCCGTTATTTTGTTTGTTTGTTTTATTTTATTGTTATTAAAACCCTTCCTGGAAAGTTTTGGTGTTTTCTTGTTCTTCCAACTTTAAGTGTCACCCTATACAACCAACCACTGGATTACCTTGTACATGAGCGACATACGGTGAGTGTCCGATATTCATTCTCTGAACATACAACATTTCTAAGTTCCCACATATTAATTAAAGTGTAATAATAATTATAAACTCCCATTCGAGAATTAAATAGTAAACTCTTTTGAAATCTAAACGCGTTATGATACTGGTCATAACGATAGATAGATAAATAAAGAAATAACCCCTCAGGTTAGGTTAGGTTAGTAACCTAAAAAATGTCTCACTTGAAATGGGGATTTTGTTGAGAAACAGCTAAAAGATGTACACAAATCATCTTTTAAATTCATTGTAATTATTCTGGCATCATCGGATAAAAAAACATTCCTCATCTAAACTTACAAATCTAGGGTTACCAGACGTCCGGATTAATCAGGACATATTCGGGTTTTTACTACGTTCGGGTGGGTCCGGGCGGATTTTTCATAAACATCCGGATTTTAAAGTTTAAAAACTTTATAAACATCAAATAATGCAAAATACAAAATAACAAACTAGTTTAAAAAAAATGTAGTTATTTAACCACTTGAGTGCCAAGCAGCAATTTCGCTTGAAAAGTACCAATGCTCTAGGCCGCGCAGCGTCAGTGTGCCAATCGCTTGCCTAATCTGGCATGCACAGCAGCGGTAGACCTAGGCAGCGGGATTTCGGGGAAAGACATAGCCTGTTTTATCTTATGTGAAAGGAATACTCATGACTACTTATAATTTAAAAAATATGCGCTTTTCAGAGTTTCATGATTTTGTGCATTTGCCAGAAAATTTAACTCTTTCAATTAAATTAAAAATACAAAGCAGCGAAAAGTACCTATAAAGTGATTCAGTTCTTTATGTGTGTAACTTGTTTTACTTTGTAAGTTTTAAGTTTTGTAAGTTTGAACAAAAAATTTATTTTTTTTGCTCTTGGTTTTTAGTAAAATGAAAACGGTATAATGGTAACCATCATCAATCAGGAGATAATGTGAAAATTGTTACTTTTCTAAAAAAAATTATGACGGCCGGATTTTGTCCGTAGTGATTTGGTTTAGTCAGTTTAATTGTAAATAGCAGAAACATTGTTGTCTACTTAATTTAATAATTTTGACAGTATGTATTACAAGATTATCATATTAAAAAACGCGAAATAACCTTGAATTAATGGTCTAGGCTGGGCCAGTACATTTTGATAATGTTGTGTGATAAAGAAAGCAGCGTCTCTTCCATTTGCTTGTCTCTATAACGAAGAAAATAATAATAATGAACCTAAAATTTATGTTTCAAGAGATGAAACTTTGTGCAACTTGTGGCACTCGGCAATTTCATACAATAAGACAGACTCGCCATTTACTTCTTAAAAAATACATACAGGGTGTCCTAAAAAGATCCACCCCCCAAGATTTTTTAGGAGGGAGCCCTATCAAAAAAAAAAAAGAAGAAAGTTGAGGATAAAAGTTGTAGAATATCAATAAACCAATATGCCAGCCGGTAACTTTGAATTTGACCCTGACTTAAGTTTCAAGGTCATACAAAGGTTAACTTGAGAATTTTAAAAGGAACAGCCCATTTTCTATGTCAACAATCGATAGTGTCAAATTTTACTTCCAAAGAAAATATTTTCAGTATGACCTTGCTTAGTCATTTAGAGGTCAAACTTATTTTGCTTTGAATATCTGGAGAAAATGTTTCATGCAAAATTTGAAGGATTTTTATTAATCCAACGTGTTAAATTTCCAAACCGCTCTCAAATTCACACTAATAGTTTCAGTCCAATACATCAATTAAATTCTATTACTGTCCATTAGATTTTGTAAAAAATTAGTTTGACCTTCAATGATCTGCAAGGACATTCTTGGAAAACGCTTTGATATCAGATCCCATCAAAATTTAGCTCTATACCGATTGCTGTCATAAAAAATACTGTATTTCATTTGACCTTAGTTTGACCTTGCAACTTGTGGTAAAGGTCAAATCTAAAGTCACCATATAATTTTTCATTCAAAAGGCTATAAATTTTTGTTGAAACATTTTTCTCCACAATTCGACCTTGTCAAGTTATTCAAAAAAAAATTGTTTGACCTTCATGACTTACTAAAAAAAATTTTGATTGACCTTATATTCCAATGTAAAATTTGGCACTATGTCGATTTCTGGCATAAAAAATATGGTGCTCCATTTAATATCTTCAAATTGACCTTGAAACAAGGTCAAATATTCAAGGTCATCAGCATATTTATTTTCTAAGTAATTAAAAAAAATAATTAGTGGCAATAATATTCGAATAGGCATGTGTTGGCAGCCAGTGTGCCACAAAAATACATACAGTTTTGTATCGAGTGACAAACAATACATAACCATTAAAGCGAAGTTGCTCTTACCTTTTTGTAGTGCCTGCTCAGTTGAATTTTCCTAGGCCTTAAATTGTTGAATATCTTCCCACGTTTCGTAGGCCGAGTCACGCCGGACAAAATAAGTTTCAAACTCTCTATCCACCTAAGCGTGCTTCCGTAAAGCAGCAGTATGGGGCAACTGTTCGGCTCGTTCTGTACAGGCCTTGTCTCCAGAACTATGCTTAAGTTGACGTTTTGGGAACGAAATGCCCTGAACGAATCGTGAACCTAAAATACATCAATTAGTAACCCTCGATTATCGTAAAGTTAAGTCGAATGGTACCTGATTACTCGAGTACTCTGGTACCTTATCGGGAGCACACTGAATAACGTTGTGGTGATCGTTAGGATCGCCCAAACAAACCCACTGAATACCGAGGATCAATTTTAAGTTTGGTAGTTTCAACAGTTGAACATCGTCATATTTCGAAGCAGTCCTCACGAAAATGTTTAAGTCTCCCTTGTACACAAATTTCGCTGGAATAAAAATTATTATTTGAGACGCTTCACATAAAAGTTATCTTCGTTTACCATTGGTCCAGTCCATTATAACCCTTTCCCAGGTTAAAGCCATTTCTTCCGTAGTGTTATAAGGATCTAGCGATGCGTGTAATAGTACCGTCAGTTGCTGAACGACCATAGTGAGCCTACCATGGAGTAGCAGTCTCATTTTGTCCCAGAATGATAAAGGTGGTGACGGGTCACGAGAAGGAGCAGATATTTGGTTAAAACCTGAAATAAACTTTTTTCATATAGACGATACGCAATAATTAATCATCTATTTATTGGTAAAACTTACTTAAATTGCACTGTGCAATGACGGGTTCCCAACAGGGACCAAATGCGTAGCTAAAGGATTCTATCTCGCAGTTGAAGTCATGGTAAAATTTCAACGGCAGCATACCCCGTTCTATAGCAAAGGGCTCAAAAGGTTCGCCTAAATGAACTTCCACCGTTCTGGTCGCTATAAAAATTTAATACAATAATAAATAAAATTATTTAATAATAACAGCAGCAGAAAAAATGAATTCCACTGTAAATGTAAAGAATAACTTTTAGGAGTAGTAAATCATTATTTATATCACATGCGTAGAGCAAAAACCATATTTTAAATAACACCAAGTTGTGTGTCTTCAATATAGCAAAATTAATTAATAAATGCAAAACACACGTGTGCCCAAAATGGAACCTTGTGGTACACATTAATGATATTTAATGCTTCTGAATGAATATTTTTCGGTCTAACAATTAGTTTTCTATTCTCCAGGTAGTTTTCGATTAAACTTACAGCATTTTGAGTCATATTCATATTTTCAAACGGTAAGAGATACGGGGGTGGCTCAAATTAGAGAAAAGTTGTGTTTTTTTATACTTAGCAATATGCCATTTAGAAAGTTTTAAAATTCCGAATTTTAAAATAAATTGCACATGTACATTGCCACTTTTTTCGCTCTATCCAATGGCATCAACATTTTTGCAATCCGACATTTCGTCTTCGAGGGGCCATCATCAGGATCATTTTTTTAAATATGTCGCTGCTATTTTTATGACAAAATCTAGTCATTTTTAATTCTGAATTAGATGACATTACTAGTGTAATCGTTAAAAAAGTTTTTAGCTTGTTTTAGCTATTATATTTAAAATTTTTCCTGCGTACGGCTCTGAACGCTTTAAAAATATCTATTGGATGAAGTCATAACAGTATAAAAGTCAATAGGTACCGCACAAAATATCCAACAATTGGATAAAGCGAAAAAAGTGGCAAAGTAAATGTGCAATTTATTTTGAAATTCGGTTTCGAATAGTCAAAAAAAAAAATAAAACAATTTTGCAAAATTTCAGTTTTTTCCGGATATCTCAGGAACCACCCGGGATTTTAAAACTTTCTAAATGGCATATTGTTAGGTATAAAAAAACACAACTTTTGTCTAATTTGAGCTACCCCGTATCTCTTACCGTTTCCTAGATTCTAATGCTATCTCATCCTTATCTTGGACACACTGTATTTTATTTATAAAGAACTTCATTGCTTTTTAAATTTATCCAGATATTATTTTTATCACATGCCACAATGTGGTTTAAATATGCCTTTTTTCATTAATAACATATTTGTAACGATTCTTATTTGCTTATATGTACATGCTTAAAATTTCAAATAAGCTTAATTTTTTAGATTGATAATTTCTTATGATATCGCAAACTTTATCAAAACATGTAATAAATTTAATTGTAAATTATATAGGCACAATGAATGACTCATTTTTTCATTAAATAAAATAAACCAAATTCTTCTGATGAAAAAATATTTTGTTTTTTTGTACATGACATCCTGTATTGTGAAACAGCATTGAAACATATTGTTTAATCGCTATTTAATTACATCAAACCACCCGCCACATATACATAAATGACAATAATAAACATTAAACATCCCATAATTCCCCAAATGTATACAATTATTCTACACAAAAGGATATCAGATTTTATAGAAATCATATTCCACGTCCATATGTACTAAAGCAAGGACAAATATAACAATAACGGATATTATTACAGAATTAGGCCTAACGCCTTCAAATATAAATAGTTGCGAAGGAATAAGCGAAGACAATTCTCGTATTTTTTCAAGAAAGATGTCAGCGAAGACGAATTGTGTCTTAACACTAGCAATAATTGCAGGAATATCGGTAATCGTCGAGTGTCAACAGAGTCAGAGTGGTTTAAGCAGAAGGGTATGTTACAAAATTAAAAAATAATAATCTTTAAATGTGAATGAATTAATAATACTTGCATTAATTTAATTATAATTTTGATTCTAATACTACTCATGTGGCAATGATTTAACTTTTTTGTGACAGTGATAACAAAGAATTTAACAAAATATAAACGTAAGTACGCATGTTAAATAATATTTGTTACTTTAACTTACATGTATCAATGCACGAAGTGTAATTTTATTTTAATAATTATGGAATTTTGTTTTAGACCTCGCAAAAACATTACTTCCCACAATTACCCCAAATACCACAATTCCCTCAAATACCTCAATTTCCTCAAATACCTCAATTTCAAGTACCGCAGTTCCCTCAAATACCTCAATTTCCTCAAATACCTCAATTTCCTCAAATACCTCAATTTCAAGTACCGCAGTTCCCTCAAATACCTCAATTTCAAGTACCCCAGTTCCCTCAAATACCTCAATTTCAAGTACCCCAGTTCCCTCAATACCCTCAGTTTCCACAGTATCCGCAAGTGCCTCAAATTCCTTCCATCCCCCAATTCCCTCAAATACCGAAACCTAATTTTGGACAAGCATCAGACGCCTCCCTAGATGTCTTCAAGAATACTCTGCAAACGCTCCATTTACCAAAACGTTAACGCTCTAAAGAAACAAAACTACAAATTCCTGTGTTTCCGTAATTACCTACGTACGGTTTTAAATCCTGATTTAATACTATTTAATGAAAGTTTGGGAGTACCATTTTAACAACTTTTGTTTAGATTAGATGTAAGTTGTAGCAATTTTTAATAAAATTTATGTACTTAGATATTTTAAACTAGGGAAGCTAGGATTTAATTTTCTTTGTAGCAAATTGCCATGCAATCCAGGAAAATCATATCATTCATTATTGTAACATTCATAATTTTAAACATGACTCACTTATAAGCGACGTGAAAGAATTAACAGAACTATTTATAATACAAAATGTAATCGATCAATAAAGACTTTGTTCATGACTGGAATACGTTATTATTTAGAATTGACTTTAACCGTTAAGCAATAAGTTATTTTAAGTTCTCTTTGTCAGAGACGCCTTCAATTCTGTTTCCTTTTAGGCTAGATCGTTAACCGATGACTTAATGAGCTCGGCGTTCGACTTCATACTGGACGTCATAGGATTTGCCTCGGAGATATTTGATTTTATATCCCAATTACCTATCATTGGAAGGAAACGCAGGTCTCTGCCAAACGGGGGCCTCCTCATCAAAAATACAAACTACTAATATCGTAGATAAATAATACTGTGGCCTCATGATTATGTAACAAATAAATACTGTTTGAATTTATTCTACAGATTTTTTTCGTATGCATCTTAACCGTAACAAAGTATTTTTTGTCTTAAGTGTAACTTTTTAAACAATAAAACTAAATTATTCTGTTAGATCAAAGATTGGAACAGGCAATGAAGAAATTTTAAATTTAAATTTAAAGATCAATGTCAAATTTGTTATCAAATATTGTGATGAAAAGATGTCACTAGCTAAGTTAGATGACCAGATACAATTTCATTTCTGGATATATCGCTGTCAGAAATCGTAGTATAAGAGCAACATTAATTTCAGACACTGCGATCAGCATTTTCAACCATTTCTAGCAAGGTTTATTACCACATCATGGAATACTAAACTATACTTAGAGGGCCACCATTGTCTCAGGAGCTGTTCTGTCTATAGCGGCTTTAGAATCAACAATAAGAAACGAAATGGACATCGGGGCAGTCCTAGGGGTTTTGATAGCGGGTTCACCACCATAGAGCCTAGCCCGAGAACAAGGGCAAACCATCGTAATTAATAAAAATATATTTCCTTTTGCCGTTTAAAATATTAAATAGAACATCCAGAATACCGTTTAAAGAAAAAAAATATCTCAGCTCCTATTAATCGGATCGAGACGCTTTTTTTTCTTAATTCATGTTTTTTTAAGTACTACTTGATGCAATTGGTTTGTACCCTAGTTACGTTTTTTTTTTGGTTTTTTGTTAATAACTTTTTTATTTTACAACTTAAAAATCTGAAATTTGCACAGACGAGAGATAATGTTCGAACCTTTTCTACAAAATTTCGATATCTTGACTTGGGCAGAAAATATATGCGCTTGCGTTTTCGACTTTTTAATTTTGAAATAGGCCGCCATTTTGAAATTTGGGCTCCGAATTGTGGGTATTTGTTGAGCACCCCAATGGTTATATCCAATTTCAGTCCAATTTCTTCTTTTTATTTAATTCTGAAAATTTTGCACATTTTTTTTCACTGCTAACTTTGCAATGTAAAAAATTTTTTGTGAGCTTTCGCAAAAGCCTATCTTTGTAGCAAATTTTCTCAGGAAGAAAATCGATAAATATACCTCGTGTCAATTAGAGCCTTATTTTCAGAGATATAAGCGAAAAACTGAAAAAAGACCAATAATTTTTTTTTTATTTTGTTATAAACAATATGACGCTCGACCTCTACAAATACACTAGTTTAGGCTTTTATTCCGTGTATTTTTTACTTAATTTTAAGCCCATAAAATTCGAGTTAGGCCTGTTTTTTGAAAAAAACCTAATTCGCCCGGATTATATGCGCATAGAAATAAAAGAATTTTAATTCAAACTAAAAAACTCACCCCTTTTCGGAGCCACCTGCTCGGCCCCCACCAGCTGTCCGCAGATATAACACTGCCTGACGTACATCAGAGGCTGCGGGAAGTCCCTAAGTTGGAACTTCCATTCCGCACATCTCAACGACACCACCCGACACCAAAGCGTGGAGAACTCCATGACCTCTTCCGGCCAAGGACTGTCGGCGTCGATTTCTCGCATGATTTTGATGACTTTTTCCGCTCCATGGATAGTCGTGTCGGCCAAAATCTATAAGAAAAAACGGTACAACAGTTTAATATCAGCATAATTTAAATGAGAAAATATTCTTCGAGGTCAATAATATTACGTACCAATATCTCGACGTTTGTCATGTTCCAAGCAAATAAGCGCGTTCTTGGTGGGGCTGCTTTGTACATGAGTTTAGATCTTTGAATGTAAATCTCAGCGTTTTTCTTTTTCAACGTTGCGTAGAGCTCCTCGACTTTTCCGGCTGGCATATGAAGGTGCGTTTTAAGTAAATCTGCAATCTGAAATGCAAAAAGAAAATGGAATTAATCAATTAATAAATACAATGAAAAAAATTGAGGTGTTTGACACAATGAGGCATGTATTTGTAACGATCCTTGGGCACTTGCAATAAGTTCATCCTATCAAGTAAATCAGTAGACTATAAACTGTTCACAGCAAACAACTAAACTATAACTAAATTTGCTTTATAGGATGATTATATTTTTGATGAATAATGGCTTAAATTAAACTGATAGTACTGCAAGGAAACAACTACTCTGCAGACTAATACTCTAGCCAGCATTGAATTATACTAACAATATCTGATTTTGCCTGAGGTGGTACAATTGTATCAGATTTGGTACATTTGATTAAAAAGCATACTACATCGCCATTCTTGGTACAAATTGCAACAAAGTAAAAATCTATAATTCAACGAGTTTTGGCTAAAAGAGAAAAAAATAAACTACTTGGGAAATCATCTAATTTAAATAAAATAAGACCAAATTAGGTTTTGGGGTTTTAAGAAGAGCAATTTTGGATTAAGACTTAGCCACCTCAAAAACGATTGAACTTTCGCTTCTTTAGGATATATGACTGTCGAATTCGGTCAAAGAACTGAGTTCGACGGTCAGATACAGATGACAGATGGGCTAATGTCAAGAATTGTATATGTCATGCTTTCACAGTATCTACAGATCAGTAGGTACAAAGTACTGCTCTGTAACAGTAGGCACCGAGTAGCAATGACATTTAAGATATGACATATACTTTGTAGGTTATATCTCACCCACAAACATCTAAGATGTAACTAATTTCAATATTTTACAGATATTTTGATGAAGGAAGGTTTAAATTGTTCATAAAAGAGTGTCCTCTAAAATTTATAAAGTTTGATCAAAAACAGTGTTGGATTAGGGCTAAGTTTCCAAAATTGAGTTGGAAATTTCAAGAATTCTGGCCATTGCAAAATCTGTTGAATCCTTGTCATGTGGGATTCAATTTTTCACGACACCTCAATTTATAAACTGCAATATACAGGGTGATTGATTAACAATGGGAAAATCGAAAGCTGAAGATTCTACACGTGAAATGGTAACCATTGGCGCAAACATGCCTTATCCGAAAGTTGATAGTTTCAGAAATACAGGGTGTTGAAAGTTAAAACTTTAAATGGTTTTTTGCGATTATCCTGAAAATATGTAGGTTAGGAACTTGAAAATTTGTGAAACTATATTATTTCAGGCGACGAATAAGATGCATGTTGCAACTAAGTGTTTCTTCATGTTATTACAACAATTAACAATAAAACAAATGAAATATGTAATAATGATTTAATTTAAAGTAATTGTTTGAAGAATCCACCGTTGACACTGATTCACTTTACACGTTTTCTGAGAGATCTTCGAGTTTGAAACAACATATTGGGATTACGTCTGACTTCAGTGGTAGCGATTTGTATTCTTTTCTTTTTTAAATAGAAAAATCCAAAGGATTGAAGTCCGGACTTCTGCGTGGACAAGCAAAAATGCTTACATGGCCAATCCAGCGATTTGGAAAAACTGCATCTAAATATGCACACACTGACCAAGAAAAATGCGGTGGGGCTCCATCGTCCACGAACCACATCTCTTCTTAAATAAAGTAGAACTTCTTCAAGCCCTAGAAGCATTTTTGCTTGACCACCCAGAAGTCCGGACTTCAATCCCCTTGATTTTTCTATTTGGTCTTGAATGAAAGATATAGTTTACAAATAATCTATTGGTTCGCATAAAGAGTTGTGGCAAATAATACAAATCGCTGCCAACGAAGTCAGACGCAATTCCAATATGTTGTTTCAAACCCAAAGATCTCTCAGAAAACGTTATGTAAAGTGTATCAGTGTTAGAGGTGGATTCTTCGAACAATTACCTTAAATCATTATTACATATTTCATTTGTTTTATTGTTAATTGTTGTAATAACATGAAGAAACACTTAATTTGTTTCGCTTTTAATTTCTCGCATTATCAAAACATACTTTTCGTTAAATCGTTTTTTTCTCGAAAACGGATACCATAATGAAACTAATGAAACAAGAGTACATATTTAATGGAAAAATGATTGCTCTTTCAGGTTTTGAATCAAGTTTCATATTAGACATGCAGGGTAAAAAGTTATTAACTAAATTTTCGGTAAAATTTGTCGTAAGTGGCACCCTCTATGAGCAAGGCTGAAATTGCACCACGCATCTTATTTGTTGCTTAAAAAATATAGTTTCACAAATTTTCAAGTTCCTAACCTACATATTTTCAGAATAGAAAAAAACAATTTAAAATTTTAACTTCCAACACCCTGTACTTCCGAAACTATCAACTTTCGATTTTCCCACTGTTAATGAATCACCCTATATAATAAAAACTACCAAATTTAATCGGAGAAGCAAGTTTAAGAGTTATTTTTGAAGCTTCTTTAAACTCAATTTCAAGGTTATAAAGTTATTTATGAGGTGTTACATTTCAATTTCTAGTATCAAACAATTTTCAGGATATATCCAGAAAATATAAACGGTAAAATGATAGTATTCCTACCTTATCTCGAAGCATTTTCTGCCTTTTCAAACTCTCATTGTACTCATCCTCCAGAAGTTCAAAGTTGTCCCTTAACTTAACCTCGAAGGGATCATCGCTCAATTCAAATAGAAACTCTTTTATCTGAAACAATTATCATCGACAAAGAAATTTTTTTAAATACCGTTTGCAAATACTCACATTTATCAGCAAGTCACTGGGTAGCGGGCTCCCCTGCGACTTATCCTTCTTCAAATTGTGAACGATCTTCAACCACTTGAAAATCGAAACGAACTGATTCTGCACGGCCTCGGCAAAGTTATGTTCGTGCGGAAACACGGCCTTGAACAAGTCGATCGAAATTCCCCAAGTCTTATTGAAAGGTATTGAAAACGTCCCCACGTCCGTTCTTTCCGCTAGTACGACAGGGTGGTTCAGGATCCTGTGAAAATCGATGCCTTGGAATGTAAAGACCTCCGCGTTGTCTAACACGATTGTTAGAGAAGTGTTAAGGAATATGTCCGGAGCTTGGGCGAGATCTTGCAACTTTTTGGTGAAGGTCAGTTCATCTAAAAATCGGAATTTGCTGTCATTATCGAAGATAAAACGAAGAAATAGTTACCCAATGCTATTTTGGCGCTATGCTCGGGACTAATCTCGATATGAAATTCAAATTTACCCAAAACATTCAAGTTGGTAACGTATCTAGTTTTCACCTTCTCGACGTCTATGATCCCCAGTTCATCCTTGACGCCTGTTAAAAACTCTTTCATGTCTCTAAATAGAAGCAAAAACTTCATGTGGAAGTTTGTCGACCAAAAAATCGTGACTATATCGAGTAAAGTTACAGTCGTTTCTCTGATTTGACTCTCGTTTTTGTTAATTATCTCCAAATGAACAGTTTTCACGAAGACCTTATAATTGGAAATATCTTCCGTTCGAATACAGGTGTAATAATCACCGGTGTTATTCAGACTGAACATTTTAAATTCCTCAAATTTAACATTAGTCGCAGCGGGACTTTTATCCAAGTTTATTGTATTTAAACGAGACACGAAATATTCTACAAAAATAAACGAATTTAGAACATCGTTAAAAAAATAACAAAAATATGGGATCCTTACCACTGTTTTGAGACTGCAAGAAAAAATTAAAATGTGTTACGACCAGATTAAAAGTTAGTTTTGGATAATCGGACTGTTTCTTTGCAACACTTGGAGTTTTTACACTGACTGTGCCGTATTGCTTGAAACACCTACAAAAAAATCAGTTTACAACCACATTTCTCCAAGAAAAAAAAACATACTTCAAAGCCAGTAACACATAATCGGCTAACTCCAATGACCATTCCAACTGGACGGTATCAAGAAGTGACCCTAGCTTGATCTCCCCATTTTGGGCGGTGCAAAATTTCACCAAACCCATACCTAAATATAAGGGGGTTCCCCAGATGTGCATGACTTTGGACACGTTGGTGTCCTGACTCCATTCCTTGAAGGACCACCAGAGGGACTCCACTAGAAAGTCCATGGTCCAGTGACGATCTCTGAGGAGCAGGTTCGCTAAATAAGATTTATAAGTCGAACCTAAAAAAAGAATTGATTGAAACATGCACTGGTCCTTTAAAAATTGGTTGAGAGAGGGAAAATATAGAAATGTTGGATGCCTAGATATCAAGATACGTTTAGTTTAAGGCACCATTGTGCCGTTAAAGATAAACAGTTCATTGAACAATGGTCACGTTTCACTACTTCTCTAAATTATAAGGTTTTTCAGGTTAAATTTTTTTAATTATTGACTTCCTGTTTTATATTTTATGAGTTACAGGTATTATTATTTATTTAGTCGGTCGAGCGTGCGGTTGCAAGCATTTCTCGACCAGACTACCTATTCTGGTCCAGGTTCGATCCCTGTCTGCGTTTTTTCAAGTGCAGCCCCCTTTCGCACAGCCTTTGGCTTTAGATTTGGGGGTTGTCTCATTTCTGCGACGTTTTTTTTTTAATGTGAGAAATAGTAATGTGTTAGTTCTACTATAAGCAAAAAAAAAAAATTTAGAGTGTTCTCAATTTATTTTAACTTTTACACTTAATGCAAACTGAATATTTGTTTGTCCTGTACCATCAATTCAAATAATAAAAACAATAACCTCAGAAACCATTTGGTACAAACGTGAAAAAAAATTAAGTTGTTAAATTCCGATAAAATATCTATGTACTTTATATTTCAAAGTTACTGCATTTGAGCGACCGCTTGGAGCACTGCTAATGTTCTAAGATCTACAAAGCCTTCATAGTCAAGTCATTGAAGGTAAAATACTGCCTTATTGTATAATTTTCCCAAACAGCACCGATTTGCACAAAAATTTGGATTTAGGTTCTACTCACCCTTTACTTCAAAGTTGACCCAGTGCTGGGGGTTACTTTTTATTTTTTAGGGGTGAAAACTACCCCTATTCAAAAATAATTATAGAATTGTATATTCAAAAATATACTGGGTTGAAATCATCTTTAAATAATACCCTTAAGAGTAATCATTAATGTTGAAAAATGTTATTCAGCAACTTGGAATAATTTAATCATATTACTGTTTTAATTTTTTATTATTTATTTATAAGTTTCAACCTTTATAAAAACCACCCCTTGCAAAAAAAATCGAACAATAATTATAGTTAAAAATTTTTTTTAGTTTAAAATATAATACAATCTTTTTAGTATTTGAAATGTAATGTATTTATTTTACCAAACCTTAAAAAAAACCCTACTGATTTTATTTTCATATGGAATTTTTTTAATTTTTTTATTTTTATAACAAAAAATTTTTTTGTTGCAAATAACAATACAAACAAATAAATAATCAAAAATGTAAATACGTCTGTGCCTAAAATATAGTTATAATGTGTATTCATCAATGCTTCAATATCTTACTTAATTTTTATCCTACAGTAAAAAAAAAAACAAAACCTACAATTTTGTACTCTACAAAATTTTGCGTATCATTAATAGTATTTGAGTTATTTTGAAGAAAAGACAATTTTTTCCAAAAATACAAAAAATCTCTTTTCACTTCAAGCTCAACTTTTTTCAAAACTAAGCACTTTAAACCGGTCAAACTTCCAGGGCATATTACAAGTACATAAATGAAGTAAATTCAAAAGTGGTAACAATTATTTTCAATTGGGGTGATTTTCACGTTCTTTGTCACTGAAAACAATACGGACCAACTTTATTTTCGTCATAACTCGCTTAGGTTTGATGCTAGGGACTTTCATAAAAAATAAATATAAAGGTTTTTTCAAGCACTTTAAAAAAGGTTATACGAGTATTCCTTGAAAAATGCATTGGTCTTTGGTAATTTCACGTTTAAACTTTCAATTTTGGCGTTCAACAAGCTATTACTCCGCTTGTATTGGGTCTACAGACACCATAAATACACCATTCTTTTTGTTATTTTTTTATAAGCTACATTTTTTATAAGAATGATTTTTTTTGATAAAATACTTACTTTTTGAGTTATTCGCGAAAAACTGTCTGAAAAAGTGTTTTTTGGTTAAAATTTACAATTTCACTCACGGATAAGTCCAAAAAAGACTTTCAGAGAAAACTTTATAGAACAAAAGTTGTTTAGAATTAGTCAATATATCCATTCCCGGAGTTATTTCCAATGAAACATTTTTCACCCCCGAGAAGAGGTGGCATCCACCCCCAGGATAAAAGCAATTCCCGGTACAAGGTCAACTTTAAAGTAGAGGGTAAATAGAACCTAAATCCCAATTTTTTTTGAAAATTGGTGTTGTTTGGCAAAATTATATGGGAAAATGGTCAGTGACTGGACTATCATAAATGTTTAAGGGGTTATATCACTTTGAAATATGTTTTTTCAATTTTTTTTTTATTGACTTAAAGCACAGAATATATTGCTACGCTATAGCTATAGCGTAGCTATATATTCTGTGCTTAAAGTATGCTAAAACATTTCCAGATTCATAATGAATTTTTTTTTCTTTTATCGCCAATATAGCATTTTTGAATTTGGTGCACATAAAAACGCCTATAACTTACCAATCATCGAGAAAATACTTCAAAGGTGAACCATAAATGTCATGACAAGTAAAAAAAACGTTACTACATACGACTGGAAAATCCACATGGTCATATTATTATGATTTCCAAAAGTGACAACGTTCTCAAACTTCAAACACGTTTTTCCCGAAACTGTGTTTTTGAAATCGGCGAGCAGCAGAACTCAAAGAGTTTTCATCTGATCAACTTGAAAATTGAACTGTAACTTCATCATGTGACGTACACACGATTTTTACAATTGGTCAACAGGATTTTTTTTATAATCAAAGTCGATTTTTCTGTCAAAACTTTGAATTTTTTGTTGTCTCGCCAGTTTGCGAAAAAAATTCCTAAAATTATTATCGCATGTACTTCACTAGCTAAACCAGGGGTCGGCAAGTAATTTTAGGTGGGGTCTGCCAGTTGCCGACCACTGAGCTAAACTCATCTACTTTATGAAAAAAAAATTGTATGCCTCCAAATGGTGATGCAGGGGTCTTCTACTGCTCGCTGTGGAGGACATTTGAAAAATTTAGTTTTGTGCGCTCCTACAGCCATTTTGCAACAAATTTTTTCTTATTCTTGAACAGTTGCTTAATTCAGTGGCGTATTGGTTGTTCATGATTATTAGATAATACTCAAAAAAAATTCTTGAAAAAAAGCCTTTTTTTTTTAGGGCTGTAAAGTGATATAACCCCTTAAAAGCAACGTAACTGCCAAGCTTAAGCAACTCAACATTGCACGACTAGTACTGGTAACGAAAAATCCCTAAATCTTGGCGTCACCAATATTAATGAATCGTTTACAATGAACAATAGCAAACCCTTATGCCTACGTTCCAATTAATGCGATCACCGATTGGTTGAATAAAATCTCGTGAAAACCACACCACACCAATCACAGCCGGTGAAACAAAATACTGCATTTCAATGTAATTTTGATCTTGTTTTAATAATTTTTGATTTCACCGAAATTTAATTGCAAACATGAAGGAAATAAAATCACCGTTTCAAACAGAATTACTGGTCACTTGACTTGTAATCACTTATGAAAGCTCTGTATATTTATAATTAACAACTTACCCCGTTTATCCTGCGACTGATCCAGCATCAACCTGATCCTATTGAAACCTACAGAAGAATTATGTTCCTTTAACTTAACAATGGCCAAGACATGACACAGTTCGGCACAAAAATTTATGGACAACTTCTCGAGGATTTTTTCAAACGTAGAACCCTTTTCCCTACTCGCTAAATATCCACTCGATGTAAAACTGTCTTTAGACACATTTGCCAATTTTAAAGGCGCAACTTTTTGTTTATTATGGGGGAAGTTCGTCCAAACCCACTTGTGGATCGTGTTGTGGTCGTACATGATAAGCAATGAGTTCTGCTGGAGGTATATGTTCACTATATAGTTTTTCAACTAAAAAATGTATCAAAATTTTGAAAGCGTCACTGAAAATTGTATCTACGTGTATTACCTTAGCATCCACATTGATGTGTTTCAGCTCTACCAGCTTCTCCCTGCTATTCTCCAACAGCAGATCCGACAAATAAAAATTGAAAAGGACAGAATTGCCGCTCAAACCATTTTTATCCTCTGGTTGCACAGATCTGTAATTTAGAGCTAGAGATTTTAAAGACGAGTTGTACTCTATTTGTCGATTCTCCTTCACACCCTTGAGAGTAGTATCGTCAATCTGCAGAGAACAATTCTACAAAACAAAAATAAAAAGATCTAGGAAGCTCAAATTAAAAGTGTTACACGTACCTTCGGAATAATAGGGAGTATTCTTTGGAAAATGTCGTCATCGCTGTAATACGAGTATATTTTAGCTTCATTCGATAATTCCTTGTTCTTAGTGCCTTGGGCCAAGCTATAAAATTCTCCCTTGATAACTGAATTTGTGTGGGACATCTTTACGTCAAGTTTCTAGAATAAAAACAATTATGTTAGTAAAAATATTGTTTTTTCATAATTTCCAATACATCTAACCTCAACAGACAAGGGCCCTTGTGCCACCAAAATAGTTTCCATTGATATGCCGAAGCAAAATTCTGCGAGTCTAGTCTCCTTTTCCTGTTTCTCAGCGTGTTTCAAAACTTTGGTCTCCGCATCCATAAGATTTAAAGTAACCAATAACGACTTAGCATTTTTTAAGATACTGCCATCTAGGTGAAGTTGTGAGGCTCTAGCATGAATTAGGCAACCGGGTGTTTCAGATCTCAACAACATAGCTGATATGTTGTAAACGTGTACTGCCATAAACTAGATAAATAAGTGGTAATTAATCTTATAAACATCGTAAATAATCCCACGTAATCTAATGACTTAACATTACTTACTTGTGCGAAACCAGTAATAAAATGTGGTACTTTCTTATCTCTGAAATCGATCAGACCCTTTGGCTCACCAGGCTTTTTCACAAATTCGTCTCCATTTTTTGCACTTAAATCTTTGTTGATCCTGACATCTTTAACTACTAACGTAACTAATTTGGTTAACTCCGAATTCAAAAAGCTACTTTTGACCCCTACTTCATCTATTTGCTAAAAAATATAAGGTAGTTAGACAAAAACATTAATTTTATTCGGTTCATTACAATGTTAAATCCATTTTTTGATAACTGGATATCACAGAGTTTTAGGTATGGTAGTCCTATCCTGCCAATTCTTAGGGAGACCTTATATTTTCTTTCGAAATGCCAGGAAATGATCCTTGGAAGTATCCTAAAAGTAAGGTTATACAATAAAAGTAATTATTTAAACCATTATTTAGAAACTTACCATGACACAATAAAAAATAACGTACAAATAATTATAAATAAAACCAAAAACCATCCCATATCGTTTTATTTTCTCATAATAATTTCACCATAATTTCTGGAGAACACTTGACAGTTCAGATGACACTTATTTTCAAAATAAATAAATCAGTGTTCAGTGTTGCCAATTGCCAATTTAATTCAATCGAGGCCAAGGTTATTTCCGAATAAGGTCGATTCGTTTTATTAAAGTTACTTACTTGAGGTGGTCTTCTATGACCCTGAATTTTCTTATTAGCTTCTGTAGAATGTTTTTAATTGCTTACCGCCTTGTCAAAATAATTAGTTTAAAATTTGTTCAGACGCAATTTACTGTTTAATTTGATTTTGTGTAATTGAACTGGAAACAAACTTTTTTGGAACAAATTGGGGAAATAAAAGTTTTTTATCGACTATATTTTTTATTTAGAAAAATTACATTATTTAAATAGGTATCTTTTGATTTTGTATATATCCAGGATATTTTCCTTTGTATTTTAGGCCTGTTACAATTGTATTACTTTGGTTGAATGCCGTCTTTCCACCAAATACAGTATCAGTGTCTAAAAAATAATTAAAGAAGTTATTCAAAATTAGAAAACGAAAAAACTTATTATTTTGTTCTCATTTTTTTTACAAAAGAATTTTTGTTAAATTATACCTGGATGAAATCGATGATAATCATACTGAATGTGTAAATTTTCAGGTAGCTCCATATTCCTCATCTTATCTAAAGGTGTCCGAACATCTATAGGAGTATTATAAAAATTCCTTACATCTTGTAAGGTCTCCATCGTATGCAATAGAGAATTTGGAACACTGTGATTAAATTCAGCCTCACACGCTATTAACACTTTAAATTTATTTTGAATGTCATCTAGTTTTGTTTCATTAGTAGTTGATCCTAGTACCGATTTGAAAATATTTTCGAGCTTAGATTGGACATCTGCCGGTGGAGTGTATTCCTTTTGAGCTCGTAAAAATCTAAAAAAAAAAAATCTTTTATCTTGAAAATGATTTTTTAGCACATTTTATGAAAATTATGAATGCTAAATATTGATTGGTAAATGCAAGAAAGTATGTATAACATCTCAAAAAAATTTTGTTAAAAAACGTTACTACCACTATTCAGAACAATAATAAGTTGGACTATAATATTCAAAAACTGCGCAATATTCAACTTTTTAATACATTTTCATCATAGCAAAATATTTAATATCAAAATAAGGAATACCATATTTTAAATTTTGAAAATTCGTGGTAATACAGATGAAGCCATATAAATAGACATGATGCGGTTTAATCACATTGTGTTTATAGAATTTCAACATTATTTTAACATTTTTAACCATTTCCCAGATTTAGATATCAAGGATTACCAACATGGCAAAATATAGGTATAGGAGGTATTCATGAGTGCACACGTATAATGGACAATTCCTAAGGAATAGTCCAGAAAACTGGACGCAGATTATAATGCATTAGGCGATTTTAATTTCAAATCGCAGAAACTTATAAATATTTCAGTGCAAGGATAGGTTTTGTATCTACGCGCAGTATCAAATTTATTGACTCTGCATGGTATCGCCCCCTTGTGGTAGAACAGGTTAACCTAAATGAAAGCAATGGCTTCCATCGATAGGCAGACGCAGTTTAAAGTGACCTAAACCGAAGTACACACCCTTTAGCGGCCAAGGATTGTGCTCTGGGGTCTATTTTTGGGCCTACTTTTCTGTCGATTCCTTTCCTTTTCTCAGCTTTCGTGGCATAAGTTCTTGTAAGGACCTAAAAATTAAAAAATCGAGCGAGTTTAAACAAGTGCAAGACGGGAGACAGTTACGTTAAAAATAGTGTTGACAACAAAGACTACTGTGAAAAGTGCGTTTGGAACTGAATCCAGATATTTTACCAAGCATTTGGGACTAGTTTTTAATTAAATTGAGTGGTTATATTTACGTTTTTAGGTGATACAAGTTGCCCTGTTTTGAAAACGCCATGCCTCATAAACGCTGCCATATTTTTCAACTGGATGTGCGAACGAACAGAGTTACGACGTACGACTAGAAGTTGCGCAGCTAGCAGTGATCAAAAGTGTTCGGACTGGCGTAAGCGACGTACGTCGGGACTAGGACGCTGCCGAGAATTTGTCTTGGTATTCTAGCAGGCTGATTTTAGTTCGGCTTGTTGTTTCGTCGTGTCCGCCATTTTGCAGTTGCGATAGAAAGGTGAAAATATCGGTAAATGTAAGGTTTTCTGGTGCGGTTTTGAGTTTTTAGTGACGTGCTGTGTTAGTTTTGTGTTGTGAAGGAAAACCTTTAATAATGGATCAGATATGACGCATCCAAATTTTCAAACTAACGGAGCTAGTTTAGAAGACTGCCATACTAATTTCTTTGCCTTGGTAAGTCGAGTTGCAACAAATATGTAAGGCGTATTGGAAATGTATGTCACAGTACCGGATTATTTTTAACAATTATGCGTTCCGTCCACGCGATCGGAAACTGTTTATAGTCGCACTAAACTTTCAGGCATGTCAACTGGTTCGCCGAAAAATAACGTTAGATTCTCTCCAAACTGACTTGTTAGTTGCTATTTTCGGTATCGTCCTTTTAAATTTTTTCTAAATCATCAGCTGTTTCGTAATCGCAGTATTTAATCGACAACGTATCTTTTGACTTTTGTTTACTTGATTAAAAAGTAGCTGATAAGAAGTCTGGTCAGTGGTCAGTCATTCTGGTCACAAATTTTGAATCTCGTACGCTGTCTGGCGGGATCGCATTTTGTCAAATCCATACTTGATTGAGTTTCCTTGAAGTATTTACGTGGAAAAACTCGTAGAACATTGCGGGTGTTCCATAATCTCGTGTGAACGAACGCCAGTCCGGTGGAGCGGTGTTGCCACTTCGAGGACGTAACGGTCTCGATTCTTGAATGTTTCTCCTCCGTGGATATCTAGATCGCACGCTTGTTCTGCGTTTTCTAAGCCTGCTAGACCTGTCTTTTATGTACATCGACCTTGTGTTATGTTAAACTGCGATTTTCTTACTTAGCCGCACAGCCTAACTGTTTTCGTTCTACAGAAACCATAATGTTTTGATAATGTATTCGAATGTTTGATAACAGAGATATTAAAACAACAGATAAGTAGGTTCAAAATGTGTGTGTGTATTAAAAGCTGCTTAGAGAATGTCTAAAAATATATGCTTTAGTGAGCGTAATGTTGTTCGCGTCACTTATTTGTTTCAACTCGTTGTTCCGGTGCTTTATTTATTTTCACAAATCGCGTTGTCAAAAAATAATTTAAAGAATAAGTATGCGAAAATGTACGATGGTTAAACCTTTTACAGGGAAGGTGTATTACCGTAATAGTTGAATGAGAATCGGATAACCTTGGAGTTATTTACTTTGCTTTACGCACTGTTTTTTACTACCGCTATAAAAATCCTGAAATCCCATTGTTATTTCCGTCTCCGATAATGCTTTGGAGGGGAGGACTTTCATATTACATTGTTGCACCTACTATAAATAATTCTATATAATACAAACAGAGGAGGGGTTATTCGGATTTGACTCTATAAATAAATATTCGTAAGTCAGGTAGTCGGTTCGTCCTCATATGGGAGTTTAGTCTGGGTGGAATTTGCCCGCGACGGAAATATTGTGCCACAGCCAACCCTGGTTTTATACAACAATATTTTTTTATACAAAATTTCTGTATTTGTAATTATTCGTTTTTTGATATTTTTTTGTTTAAATTCACAAGCGTCAGATTACTATAAATTTTGATACATATACAAGAATCAGAAAATAAGAGACTGTATTTTTCCCCAAAGTTAATTTGTTTCTTAACATCTAAGCTTGACTTCATTTCTCTATTTAGCATTTAAAGTACCGCTTTTCTCAATACCCTTCTCCTAGACAAGATAGTCCAGTAACCACTTTTTAACCGTTTTTTTTTCTAGTTTTAAAATGCTTCTAGAACTGCGGCACTAGGTGCAATCGTTCTGATTTCATATTTAAAAGTAAGTAGAATACATTCAGAGGCACCTCAGACCTTATCTTTTGCATTAAATATAGTCCAATTAACTAAGCCTTTAAATCGAAATTTTGCCAACTTGGCTGAATTTTTGATATGAGTTAGTTTAAGGTATATTATAACAATAAGTGAGAGTAATTTTTTGTTCAACCCCCGGCCAAGGGTGGAAAAAGATAAAACAAAGGGCTTTTTCAAGATAACTCAAAAAGGGTAAGAGCTAGAAAAAAAAGTTTTTCATGAAAGTTGTAAAGCAGACAATTCTACATAAAAATGGTCTCTTAGCTTTTTTTTGTACTATTAAAATTAACAGAGTTAGGGAGGCTAGAAGTTAAGGGAAGATTTCAGAAATTTAAAAAAAATCATAACAAACAGAAAAATGATTGAATTTTGTAATTTTTTTTTTCAATCTGCTCTAAAATATGTAACTTTTCTTTTCAGAGAAATAGATATATTTTTTAATTTTTAATAAGAAAGTTATAACAAAAAATCAAATTTTTAATCGTTTAAGATTTCAGAAATTTAATTTTGTTAAATCATTAAAATTAACGATTAAAAATTTGATTTTTTGTTATAACTTTCTTATTAAAAATTAAAAAATATATCTATTTCTCTGAAAGGAAAAGTTACATATTTTAGAGCAGATTGAAAAAAAAAATTACAAAATTCAATCATTTTTCTGTTTGTTATGATTTTTTCTAGCTCTTACCCTTTTTGAGTTATCTTGAAAAAGCCCTTTGTTTTATCTTTTTCCACCCTTGGCCGGGGGTTGAACAAAAAATTACTCTCACTTATTGTTATAATATACCTTAAACTAACTCATATCAAAAATTCAGCCAAGTTGACAAAATTTCGATTTAAAGGCTTAGTTAATTGGACTAATATACGCATGGGCAGTGATAAAAATTTAGGCCAATTTCTTGAATAAATTTTAGATACCTATAACATAATACAGTGAAAAGTTTTTAGTATGTACTTAATATATTTGCATATTTAAGTATTTATTTGTAAACACATTTAATAACGGTTTTTGTAAAATGTTTCACTTTAAAATTTAGTTGTCATGTGTCATGCCTTGTAGGTAGATCGACTTCCTGATCTATGTTTTTCTATAGCCCCGAATACCTGTAGTTTGTAATAAAATTCTGGCAGGCAGTTTCTATTTTGATTTGCAAGTAAAAGAATTATTTGAATATTTTAAAGCGTTAAAGGTTCAGATAACTATCAAAGCGAGGTTATTAGTTTGGGAGATTGTTTTTATACCAAATTCTCGTGTTTAATTATCCTAATTCGATTTTTGTAAAACTTCAGGGTTATTAGAGCTCCCTATACATTTATTTAGCGCACTTGGTAACGTTTGCGCTAAATTCTTAAATTTACTCGTGAGTAATCAGATCAGTAAATATTTACACATTGCTCAAATATTCCATTCTAAAATTCCACCGGCGGCAATTTATACTAGTTACACATTCTGTGTCCAGCGAAACAAACATCGGCCAAGTTAACTATTATAACTTTCCATTGTTTATTTAAACTCTGCAATCCTCCGTCGAGTTTTACCCACTTTCCACTGGCCGCGGATACTTTCTATCTTACCTAATTCCATTTTTATCGATAGAATCGGCCGTGCATTGTCTAAAACCGGCTCTCGGCTCGGAAGAAAAGCCGTTCCCGGGCCGGGTTGTTTCGTATTTTTGCCCTCGCCGTCCAACCCGCCTCGATCGAGTCGCATCCGAGCCGGCTGTGGGCTAGATAAGGGGCAGGCGGAATGTGTTTTCCGCATATTCGTCGAGTCTCGCTCTGTCGGCTTTTTGCATTTGACATTGACGTATGCGCGGCGACCTGGCAACGCCGCGCTATCACGGCTGGTGACAGGAGGGTACAGTCGGGAACAAAAGCGCAGCGGCCTGCTTCGAAAACATTAGAACCCGACCGCGCGGCCTGCTGCGATGATAACGGGCATGGGCGCCGTTCACAGGGGGCGAGCGGGCGCAGTCGAAAGTTATTTTTAAAATGTCTATTTGTTTTTTAGTAGAACATTTATTACATTTTCGCACCAACACATCTAGACCAAGAAATAAAGGTGAACAATCCTGTAGTAAAAATTACTGGGCGTGATTTTATTGTTGGAAAGTCTTGGGAATGATAATACAAAAGGCGTCTCATCAAATGAGCCATGAAAAAAGTATAACGTCATTGTTTTTTATCAACAAACTTGTTTTTTTTCAATTTGTAGGTTTTTTTTACGACCTTTCGAATTGTGTGTATAACTTCTTTCAAAAGTTAAAAACTATGGAGTTATTTTATTTGTTTATTAGGGAAAAAGGTGCCTTCTATTTGATAACAATTTGTTAATAATACTAATACAATTAAATTTGAAAAGAAATATTTTTTTTTACCTCGATACTTGGTGTTCCTTCGAAGAAAATGAGCTCAAAAAGAATGTTTTATTCATGACCCTGCCCCCGGAAGAGTTATTTGAAAATGGGCCTTTTTTGCAAAAATGGGATAAATAAATGGAATTTTACAAAAAATATTTGACCGATCGAGCCCATCTTTTGCACATCTCTTAAAGATATAAAAACTCACATTTTGGGAAAGTTTGGTAAGATTTAATTAATTATTTAAAAAGTTATTAATAATTAAAGAAAAAGCACTTTTTCCGTTTAATTTTGCAATGAGTTTTGCAATAACTTTTTGTTTATGTTAACTTATAAAGTCTTATTTTAAAGATGAGTTTCTCTAGATCAGGGGTCGGCAAGTAATTTTAGGTGGGGTCCGGATACTTTTGAAAATTTTTAACGAGGTCCAGAAAAAAATTCATATTTCTTATTTTTTTATTTTAATTTGGACTCAAATTTAATCTGCTTTCTAATTAAGAATTCAAAACACTCACACAATTGTAAAATACTAGAAAAAATGATAAGATTGGCACTTAAACGTAAAAAAACATTTTTTAAATAATTTATTTGAATAATTTACACTTTCAAAACATTTTTGGCAGTCCAGTATTTTTCCTTCCGCGGTCCGGACCTGGGCCGCGGTCCGCCAGTTGCCGACCCTTGCTCTAGATCAAATCGTCTGTTGTACTTTTTTGCTAAGATTAACAGTTTGTTTATAGTAACGCGTAGAACGAAAAATGACGAATGTTTGTTCTATTTGTTGATAAAAAACAATGGCGCTATACTTTTTTTCATGACCTATTTGATGAGACTTTCCAACAATAAATTCAACGTTGACCCACGCTGTTTTTTTTTTGTTATTTAAGAAAACTCCATGTTTTTTTATTATTAAAAAATAATGTACCTATTAAATTCGTTTATTTCTGTGGTTTTTAAGTTTAAATAAAGTGTTATAAATCATAAAAA